AGACACTCCTTACATAACGTAGACAGCGGGATTATTATACAACCCCATTTGGCTCAGGGTATATACTTCAATGAAGATACCTGGGCCTTTTGGGGAGGGGATATGAGATTGAAGAACTAGCAGGACGAACGGATCCCTGCTTGATGGGTTTAGGGGTTGAGGAGAAGAATCACATACCCTCGGCTGCCTCAACAATGATTAACACGCCGACCCTGACAATTGAAAACCCAAAGTCCTGAAGCCCTCAACTATCCCAAACCCCAAAACCTAAAACCCCAGACCCGTAATCCCAAACCCCAAAGCAATGAACCTCAAGCCTCCCCAAGCATGTACATGCCCATACCTATTCCTGCATACCCCTGTGGAATCCGCTAAACACTAAACCCTAACTAGGTAGGTTTTCCGTGCTAACCCGCCAGTTGGTTAAGACGATTTTCGTTTATCACGTAATGATTTCACAATAGAAACAGGGTTCTTTAGTTCACGGCCAAATTATGCGACAAGTCCATTGCCTCCTGCATAACACGTGCTTTAAGTGAAAAAATCACGCGGTCTTCCGTGAAAAATAGCACGTCAACGAGACTTCAGGTTGCAACGTGGCGCGTTAGCGCATCTCACGCCTGAAATGCCTACCTAGAACCCTAAACCCTTAACCCTAAACCCTATCATAGCTTAGCGGCCAGGTAGAAGGAAAAGGCATGGCCACACAGATTCAGCAGCATAAAGGTCATGGAGATCAAGAAGTACTCCTTTCTACAGTTTGGTGCTGAAGGCTGAGGACTTTTAAGTTATATAGGCTTTCCTCAAGGTCCAAATGCACACGAATGTGCGATGTTCAGCGGTAAACACACTTGGGGCTTTATCAGAGTTTCCGTGGTGCTCTTCGGAGTTCTCTGAGCTCAGGAGTTTCCAGATTAGGTGGTTCGGAGCATGGCCCTCAGGACCACTGGCTTCTTGTTGCGTGCCTCCCCGCAAAGGCTAAGGTCTAGAAGTCTTTCGTGCATAGCTGCGCATAGCCGAAGGTAGGATTCACATATATGGCCTTCTTTTTAAAGATGGACACTTGCCCTTGCTGAGGAAGCCTATGTGCTCCCGTCAGAGCCATAATCAAACAACCTAACTCGCAACCTCGTCTGCTGCGGTCCACCACGCACACCACACATTTATTGTAACAACAGCTGCGAACGAACAAATGCAGCAATAATCATGCTAATGCATTGATATAATGACAATCGCTTTTTCGATAACCATGATAATAACACAATAACATTAGCGATATCTAAATCTCATGATGACAAATAAGCCCGCTCCGGGTTCTTCTCACACCGCTTCTAGCTGAGCAGGAATGAAGGATCTTTTTCCTTTTTAGCAGTCCCTATATAAGCCCATCATATGGTGCTTTCCATGCTTATTTTCAATCGTTCCCTGCTAACCCAAAAACTCCAAACCCTAAACCCCAAATCCTAGTTTCCATTTCATCTCCTCCTGTCCATTTGATTCGTCGTTATTGGGGAAATATCCCTAACCCGTATAGAGCCCGCATGTACTCTGTATCCCTTTGAAAGGAAAGCTATATCTCCGCATTTCACCCCTTAAATTCTCCCTACTAACAAACAGCAATTAAAACCCTTATCCCCACGTATCTCTTCAAATCACGAGTTTCCACATTGTTTTCCATGTTCTTTTCTATTATGTTCTTGAATATTGGAGGTCATACGCCTGTATAACCTTTGTTATAAACCCGCAATAATACAATAGCTGCCCTCTCCCGAAACTCTGAATCATACGATCCCACCGCCCAAAATCCTAAAACTCAAGCTCCCAACCCTAAACCATCCTAAACCTTACAAACCCTAAACCCTAAGCCTTATATCTAGGCACTTTAGGAGGGAACATATATAACCTTATATAGTCATTA